TGTGTGTGTGTGTGTGTGTGTGTGTGTGTGTGTGTGTGTTTCTGTGGAGTTCTTGTGTGGCTCATGCTGCTAGTAACATCCGAATCCGAAGTGCCAATCTGTGTCTGGGTCAAAGAGTTGGAAAGACTTGTTGTGCAGAGAGAAATTGCTCATGAATATGAAAAATCATGTACTAGACAGCCATTAAGTTATATGAAAAGTAATAATTTATGAAGAGAGACGTTTTGTACAGACTGTTTGAAAAAATAAAAACAATAAAAAGATTTTGATAGAGATGACTATATGAGAGTTGATTTAGTAATTTCTTTCTCTGTTTTACATGTCACGCACTTGCCAGTGGTATCTTGTACATTCGGTTTATCAGAAACCTTCCTCTGTATTTGTTTCTTTTTATTTTCTGAGTGTTTAAGCCAAAAAAAAGCTGTTTTCTCCCTTTTCCCCTTTGTTTCCAGTAGATTGTTAGTTAAGCTTTATTTCTGTTCGTTTCTTTGAGAACTTTTGAATAAAAACACACTTTTGTTTTATTCATGTTGTGTCTTCATTCACAGACCAAACGTCTGAGAGCGCTAGTGAAAATGCATCTGCTCTGCATTCCTTTCTACATCATTTTGCATTAGAAATGATCAAATTAGCATGACTATTTGACTGAAAAAGGAATGCGTGAGTATTTGGTGTGTTTTTTGCTTTAATAATACAGCACTTGTGTTATATGAACTAAACCTGATGATCATGTTCTTCAGCATGATTTAAGATGATCCAAAGAACATCTGACAGTCTGGTTTTCTTACATAAGTGGCCTAGAAATGGTGTAGATATTATACAGTTTGTACCGTAAATATTTTTTAAATAGTAACTTTCTTTTAGCATTACATTTTTAAAAATCATATTACATATTTAAAATCGTACGAAAACAGAAGCAGAGAGTGCTACACGGGTGTCTTTACATAGCCACTGGTGCTCATTGGATGTGATGGAGGTAAACATCAAATTATGTAGACGAAATATTTCCAAGGCACTCACATGGTAAGATAAAAAGCCTTTAATGAACTGGGCTTAAATCATTACAACTAGTTAAAAGTAGATCTACGCGTTTCGG